ACCTGAAACTGACAAAAACAACAACAGCAGCGGTAGCAGCAAAAGCAGCTGCACAAGCGGCGTCATAAGCGACGTGGTAAACAAAAGCAAGCAGACAAGCTCCCACCACCAGAACATGAATTTCAATTTTTCGCAGACAAACACCACCACCAACACCACTGACGACTTTCCACACATCAGCTTCATAACACCACCGAAACTAATTTTTGACCACATAACCACAAACAACGACGGCAGCGACGACGACAACGACTTCAAATCATCTCCTACGGCCACGAACACCTCACTAACGTCCAACTTAAAAAGTGACAACATCGACATCAAACGAAAAAAAATTGTTGAATTTGCCAATTTACCATTGCCTACCACACCGCCAACTCTGACTAACTCCCCACCAAATTTTGTGAGCCTTGCGACTCCGGTCGGAATCGTCAGAACCCAAAGTACCAGTGCGTTAAGGATGTTGAAGAAACAGCAGCAAGGTGGGATCGAAGGAAGAACTGGTCCAGGATCTCATTGGGACTTTTTCGATAGATTTGTTTCTTCCGATAGGTCGGTTTGTGTTGGTGTCAGGATTTAGGTTCATTTTATTAGATTTAATTTGTTGGTTGGTTGGTTGTGTCGAGTCAAACTGGAATTAAATTGGTTGAATGATTTTATTGCACCAACATTTAGTCAATTTAATTTGTCAGTCTTCTGTTTGATGGTTTGTATGGCTGTTGTGTTTTGGTATGTTTATAGATTAGTATGCTAAAATTAGGCCAGAGCATTCCAGCTGAAATTTTCCATTTCTCTACTTACAATATGAGCTTACTAACATTTTGTCGGTTGGAGATAATTAACTGACACATATGGTGGTTTTCAACATAATGCCACAACACACACGACTTCGCAATCCGTCAACATACAACGTTTGTGTATGTATTATACGAACAAAAATACATTTAGATACTCAGATACCCGNAACCAACACGTGTGTATGTTTGTATGTCTATACAAAAATTTATTTTCATGTGT